TTAGCAAAGGGCCCCGGACCCCGTACTCCCGGAGCACCCCCCAAAGGGCGCTGCGAGGGACACGATCGAATGCCTTCTCCAGATCCACGAAACACATGTGGACAGGTTGGGCAAACTCCCATGAACCCTCCGCCACCCTGAAGAGGGTATAGAGCTGGTCCAGTGTTCCACGGCCAGGACAAAAACCGCATTGTTCCTCCTGAATCCGGGACTTTACTCCTCAAGAGAGGCTGGACTCCAATATCTATCTGACTAAAAATACCTAACAGGAGCATTTTTAAGCATAGTCAGTTTTGTTCATTGCATCCCCTAATCCCCAGTGATAATTCCAGCCCATAACATGTTAGAGAAGGGCAGGATACTCCACACTAAAAGAGATAAGGCCAGTAAATTCAGGAGGTGTTGTCACAGTGCACTGGAAAGTAAAGCAAATGGGAAAATATTGACTGAGTGAGGCAGATAATTGAAGTAACCAAATCACCGTGTATTTGGATGATACTGTACATGTGACTAGCACATTTTGTCAAAAGCTAGACTTAGGACGTAATGTTTACGTTTATCTGTGAATATGACAACTATTCCTACAGCTAAATGTTGAACAGACATAACAGCTAAAATTACAAAAAAAAATAAGACCTCATTTGGAATTAAACCAAAACGATCCTTTAAGGTGGCATAAGAAGCTCAGGTGGCAGGTGAAGCAGGTAGGTACATGGCAGTGTTACAGGGCAAGAAACAAGTGTGGTCAGATGATCAAACAGGTTTTAAACCAAGTCTGGCTAACCTTATTTATGGTTACCTAAACTTATTTGAAAGAGAAAACCAAGATGCAATGTCAAATTAAAAAGGTAATCATCCTTTAGGATCAATATGTTCGAAAGAAGGAAAAAAGTAACTATCAACACATTTCTGCACAGCAGGTCTGCTGCTGATGAAAACATCTGAGGATACCAATGGTGATGGTGGCTGAGCGACAGCCCTTAGGCTGGCACATACAAGGCTAAGTGTAGTATGACAAAGCACATCACACCTCTACTGCAAATCCATTCTTTTCTCATATTACAGATTTGAAGTCAGCAAAAGACTGTTTAAACAGCAACTATTAGATAGAGTTGAGACATTTAGAAACAGAATCCAAACTCATACAAAAAACACAGGAGGAAGTAGAATAAAAAGGAACAGACAAATGAAAAGGATTGAAGGAATAAGGAAATCAGATAATCATGGAAGGAGGCAAAGAATGAAGCAACAGGAGAAGGACAGAAAGGCAGAAGGAGCATGAGACAGAGCAACATAAACAAGTTTCTGTGAAACTGCCATGCTACTTCTCACATGATGGCTCCTGTGGAGGCTGTCCTAAGCCAATTACAAGCAGAGTTTTAGTTGGAGAGTTGGCCAGGACTGGCTGGAACAAGTGCAAAGTCCATCACCTCTTGCCCTTTTCAGAGAGGGCAACAAGACCTGGCTTTGGCCAGTCAGTCGGCTCCAACTTTCTCTTGTGCAGTGGCATTAATACTGCAGAAGGAAAAGACAAAAACAGGAAGACAACAATTCCCTCTATGTCTGCTCATTCACACAACAATGTGTATTTGTGTCTGCACAGGTGTGCCTTTACTGCTGTGTCTGAGTCTAAGGTCTCGCTGGGCCTCAGCAATCAGATGCTTGGGTGGGTGCACAAGGGCCACTTCTTAGGTTGCAACACTATGAGGTCTGAACTCTGACCTGTGTACAAGTCCAATATACTGTATCTGTACTATTCCACACAGTGAATATACAGACTCGCAGCCACAAATACCCAGTCAGGTGCCCAGAGGGCCTTCGCTGGCTGCTGTGTCGGAATTCACTAAAAGAAGTCTCCTCCTTGTCAGATTAATGGCTGTGTCTGTCAAGGTGGTGGTGATATGTGTGTGTGTGTGTGTGTGGATTTGTGTGTACATATATTGGTTTGCACAAGGAGGTCCTGACAGGAAAGATACTGTTTAGGGACCAAAGTGCTTGGTGCTTTATTTATAGTCTATACCAATTCTAGAAGTTTCCTACCTGGAGGCAGATACTAAATAACTAAATGGGATTGTGTCTCCGTGTGTGTGTCTGTACACATGAATGCAGGTCTTTGGGGAAATGTAACTGCTAGTGACACAGACTGTTGTGCAGATATGGCTTACTGAAACATTCAGCAGGCCGAGACAACTGAGTCAGAGAGAGGGAAAGTAGATATTCTCCTCCTCTCTTCAGCTCCATGGTGTTGACCTGCACGGCGTAGATAGGCCTGTCAGTCACACTTGTTAAGTATGATAAGGGCAAAGGACCTGCTACTGCTGCACTCTCAGCCCCAGCAAATACAAAAGAACCAGAAAAACAAAGACAGAGAGAGAAGAAAGCAAATTTTCCTGTTTCTTACAACTGGCCACCCACTTTACTCATCTCCCCGTTTTCCTTAGTTTTTACCTGTATGAGCTGCTTGCTGCTGCAGAGCTTTTCAGTCAGGGAGTTCAGTTGTGCCGTGCTCGTCTCATTGGCCTTTCGCAGCTCTCTGGCTGAGAGCACAGCATCCTTCCTGGCACTTCGCAGTATGTCAATGTGACGCTGTAAGGACTCTATGCGCTGCTGAAGAGAAGAGGAGGAGCAGTGCTGGGTCTTCATCAGCATCCCCTTCCTTCTCCACCTCCTTTTCTCTCCTCTCTTCCCATGTTCCCAATGCTCATGCTGTTTGTTGTCTAACAGGAGGAAGTACACATGTGCCTCAGAGATGACAAGAGCACAGGCAAACTCCAAATCCTTATTTAGAAGCTGCTGCTGCTGGGAGTTAACAGGCGCATGTAAAAGTGTCTGTGTATGCACAAGTGAACACTGTGATATATTTAACAACTTCAATAATTTTTCAATTTAAAAACAACTCAGGACTGTCAAGTTCTGAAAAATAAACACAGCTTGTTAACTTCTCAAAATACTTGTTTCTGATCAACAATGTGTACATACATTGGGTGTTATCGCTGCTTCAATTAATAGTTGATTTGATTTTTATAGTTGCATTGGTGCAAAAAAGAAAAATTTGTGCTACCTTGGGCCAGAACACTTTTAGATTTTGCTGCTGGTACTTCTGCATTTGAAATCAGTGAACACCTGTAGGACTGAAAGAACAGAAAAGTCAGAGAGAGCGATGAAAAGCAGCTGTTTAATGTAACACAACCGGTTGACATGTTGTGCTTCCAAATACACAGCTCATAATGACACTGTGATCAAACCGTGTGCTCATCTTAACGTGACAAGACAAATCACCCTGTGCTTTAATAATTCACCTGAGCATGTTCACCCTACTTCAATGTGAAGGCTTGACAGACACTTGCTAATGCCACCTTTGTTCAATCACTGTCTGAAAGCCTTAATTCACTCCTACACAATGACATGGGAGTATAGAGTCATTTGCACTCGTGTGTATGCGTGACATCTTTAACGCACAAGGCCCCCCCCCCCCCCCCCCCCCCCCTTTTTTCTGCTGTTTCCTTTGTATTGGGGTCAGGCAGGATTAGATCGGTGCCAGGTATGATCACACGGTGCCTTGCAGGGGGGGATGAACCCTTTGGTTTGTGACACCAGGAGGGGCCAGGGCTGTCACAGCGATGAGCCCGGAGGGAAGTGAAGGGTACATTTAACAGAGCCGGGGTGGTGAAACTATGGAACTAGAGGGGATCTGAGAGTAAGAGTCCTGACAGCTCCCTGACTAGATGTACAGAAACAACCTTTAGCTTCTCTCCACCTTCTACACCTTGCTATTCAGAGGGTAAATTTATTTTTATGCTTTTATGCTCTGGGTGGCCAGCTCGCATGAGCATGCAAGATACCAAGTACACAGGTGTAGTAGTGTAAAAAGATGTGTCCAGAAGAACGTTCATTAAAACATATACTCTGCATCATCAACATAATATTTTACTCACTCTCCCAAAGTCTCCAAATATCTGCCATAAAAAAAAGCTCCTTTCCTACAAGTTTTACAATAATCCTGGCTCAATAAATCAGCATAAATTAAGGAAATTTTAGTAAAAAGTATACACTTATACTACCGCATTTGCAACAACAGAGCATAATATAAACTTGGTTGTCACAAGGGTGGTATTCCTACCTGTTTCTATGACTGTGGTAACAGCTGTACATAATCTTGCACAGAGAAAACTTTAGATTTAAAACATTCAATTTTGGTTAAAGCTTGCAATTTTATTCTGTAGATCATCATTTTATTCTACAGATCATCTTTGTTCATACATAAGAAACCACTTACTCCTGCCTTTAAAATATATTGTTCATGAGAAATTGAGGTATTTCAGCTTTTGCTGAAATAACAGTTTAGAATAAGTATTTTTGTGTTTCTGGGATTCAGAAATAGAGTATATCATTCATCACTGGCACTATTAAAGCAAGCCTGAAACAACTTGAATAAAATTTACACACACTCTTAACTATTTTAGGTCTGGCTATTAACATGAATCCAACTAAAACATTACTCTTGCAAAAGAATCTGCTGTATACCTACTGCCTCAATATTCACATCTGTGTGCAGATTCTTTAAATGCAAAATGATTAAATGTTAACAGTAAACCAACCTTTCTGTTGGCATGTAGTCTGTAAGATGCTGTCCCTGAGGGCACACTGTTGAGACTGTCCGAGTACTCCTCTCCACTGTCACTGTGGAGAAAGATGAGGAGGGTTATTACTGGCCACAAGTTGAACCCACAACCCTGGTTCTAAAAGTACCACCCTTGGACAAAAGTCCAATTTACCTTTTATGCTTGATTTAGTTGACATCAAGCAAAAATATGTGCATTTTGCCCCCCCCCACCCCAACAGGAAATCAATGTCCCATCCAATTTCTGAGCTGGAAGTGTAAATGTGGGTGTAAATGAAGTGAAAAGCTGCAGTGTTTGGTGCTGATGGTGAATGCATCAACATGTATGAGAGTGGCTGTGGCCTTCATTAGCCCTCTTTGTGTGACAGACGTGTATGAGAGGCACGGCTGAGCAGAGCCAGGCAAAGTTGCATCTGATGGACACACAGTGCTTCCTGAGAAACACACACACACACACACACACACACACACACAGGTTTATTGACAGTGACCTTTGACGTGAAGGTAGAAGCCAGTGACATTTACGCTGGTGGGTTTATTAAGGTGGGGCCTGGAAGAAGTAGCAGAGGTAAAGACCACAGAGAGAGGATCTAACTGGAATATGACAGGGCTGGGAATTAGTTATGGTTAAATCTGGTGTGGAAGGGGCACAGGGACCAATCACTAATCACCACCACTGAAAAAATGTTACCCACTTTGAGCCTGTGAGACAGCTAAACAGGTTTGACTTAATAATGGTCTTGTGTACACAAATTTGAATTAATCTCACTATTAATTTTAACATACCTGAAGTATGCATCACATACAGACTCAGACTAACAGGGCATATTTTTACAGGTCGGTATCATCTTAAAATAAGCCAATCAAATTCTGATCCTTGTTAACTTTGACTAATGTGCTCATGCAGCTGTACTGTTTTCTCCAGTGCTGAAAAGAAGCTCTGCTTTACAATGGTCACCTTTAGTGGGTGGGCCGATTTGACTGCTAGCTTCTCCACTTATGGAGAAACTAACTTGGAGTTAGTAATTTAGGCGATCTAAGAAAGACTGGTTATATTAACCTGACAGTGGAATATGGAGCTGTGCTTTTCAGGTAAATTCAAGGATCAGATCGGCATCTATCAGCAAGTACCCAATATATAAGGACTCTGATCAGGATCAGGCCCAAGAAACTAGATTGGAAAACCCCTGCTACACATCACTCAACATAATACTCCACCGGTTAACAGTAAACATGAGGGCAATCAGTCATTAAGAGTTACTATAACTGTATCCAAAGACTATCAAAGTTGTCTCCTGGGGGTGCTTTAATATACAATATAGTTAAGAACGCTGTGCTGGCATGTTATGGCTATACTTCAGGGGGAATGTGTGTTTGTATATAGTGTACTTTTCTGTGCATTTACAGGCTGGATGCAAAACAAATACAGAGAAATATAATGAATGCAGATGCCTCCACAGAGGACATAAAGGGTCAGTGATCTGTTTGAGTATAAAAATGATGATGTGAGTCACACACTATAGTCATCAGATCGCCACCCATTTGAACACCTATGAGAGATTACTGACATATGCTCTTCACTATCATGGTAAATTATAACTTCACTCTTAATGCATTTTTTACCTTAGTGAACAGTGTTTTACAATTTGCCAATCATTCACCATCAGACACAAGTGACGGCTGAGCTGCCATGCAAGGTGTTGGTCTGCCCACTGGTGAAAAGACAAGGACACTTTGACAGGGGGAATCAGTGAACTGAAGACCAACCCTGCAATGAATGTACAGCCACTCATTCAAAACAGCAAATGAGGGATTAGTTTTTGGAATAAAGGTGTTGAATCCCTCTAGTGAAGTCCCAGGGCACTGAAGCTGTTCGAGTTGCTTGTGATCAGTCATTATCCTTCTTGAAAACTTCATGGTTTTTAATGGTGATTTTTACCTTGACACCTATCTTCCAGCAGTTATCAAAGGCATATCAAACACATAAACACAAAGTATTACTTATTCCTTATAACAGAACCATTCAGCAAGGTATTCTCCATACCCTCTGCTCTTATTCTGTCCAACAAAACTGCTGATCTGCTCAAAATGGTCAGCTGCAACCAGCAGCTCAAAACTTGACAGTGAGCCAGAGGCAGCAAGAAAAAGAATGGGGAGGGAGACTTCTCAGTAGCCTTAACAAGTCTGACATCTTTATTTGGCACTACTTAGGCCAAAGCTTCTTAGGCAGAAATACTGTATTTCCACTAGTGACTACCAGACAGCGCTGAAGAAGACCCTTGTGAGATAAGAGACGCAGAAGGCTTTACAGTAACAAATCAGTTGACAGGTGCCTTAAATAAGACAACATCTCTGTTTATACCCCTTCTTCACAAATCCACTTAGATCCTCCTCTCAGGTAAAGCGTATATTAGACTGCTGCTTATTATCTACATGGCAAGGCATTAGGAAAGCAGGGCATTGCTGCACCCAGTCCCTGCTAAATGGCCTCTTGTGGATAGAGCTGGGATGGATTACCGTCTGATGAATTAGTTGGTGAAGATATGGCAAGTTAGCAGGACCGAGCCAAAGGGGCATACAGGGAGAGAAATTGAAAGGAAATAAATATCAGCGATAGCTATGAGTGCTTGAGATCAAATCATTCACTCACTCAATCTATGTTGGCTCAGTGGCTTTTTGCATAAAACATACAGGAAATAATTACTGTCAATGGTTCTTAATTTAGAGGGTGTTAAACAGCTTGTAGACATCTGGAACTGAGCCGAGTAGGGTCATTCAAAATTTATCTAACTAAATTAAGGCGAGGAGAGAGGAGAGTGCATCAGATGGAAAGGCAGTGTGTGTGTGTGTGTGTGTGTGTGTGTGTGTGTGTGTGTGTGTGTGTGTGTGTTTGGTGGGGGGCTTACAGGGATTGCTGTATGAAATAAGAGCAATGCACACACATTTGTCAATTGACATGCCACAAGATAACCAACATGACTAGATTCCCTGCATGTATAGCTGTGTGGTACTTGCAGGGGGATCCTTAGCGCTGTCAGGGGGGTAGGCTAGTGAATATGCAAAGGACCAGTAAATTAAATCAAACTGCCAAACTGTCAATTTCAGGATAACGTGACTAGTGCATGGAAATGGCATCACTGCAAGGTATCAAGGTTTTGGCAGCCCCCTTATCCCTGGGCTTTTCTGGCATCGGTTCAACTTTGTGCGGAGAAATGGCTAATTTTGCATGCAAATTTCAGTCAATAAGCTCCAAGCAAGGCATCCCAGGATATTTCAAAGGATCTGACAGTAGTTTCCCCCCTCCTCTCTCCTTCTCTCTATCATTCTTGCTCACATTCTTCTTTTGGCTCCTAAATACCACCTAGATAGATGATGAAATTTAATCACCCATTTGCTTAGGCTTTGTATATGCACGTTGTTCCACTGATACAGTATGGTCCCCCACAATTCAGCCAGCCCACCCTCTCCTTTCCAAATATAAAAATAATGAGGCAAGAGGCAGTGAGAATAAGTGCATCTGTGTGTGTGTGTGTGTGTGTGTGTGTGTATATCATTACCCATCTACACTCAGGTCCTCCCACTCGTCCTTACTGGGACTGGGGCTGCGGCCTTGCCAGATGATGGCTTGATTGGGACTGACTGTTCGGTGGCTACACAGACGTAGAGGACCTCTGAGTCTTGCTGTCTTGAATTTGACCTTGCTGCTAATGCTGCTAGCAATCCCGCCTGCTAATTTCAGCACTGGTCCTGCTGCACGGTTCCTATAGAAGTCCCTGGCTGCTCTGAGAATCCCCAGCTCCTGTCTAAGCTTCAGCAACTGCTGATGAACCTTGGTAGCCTCTTTCTGAGAAGCAGCAACCTGAGCTTCTAGAGCCATGATCTCGTTGCGATGCTGCTCCTCACGGGCCAGGGCCTGGGCCTGAGCTGCATTTTCACAGACAGCTTCCTGGGTTTGCAGGTGATCCAAGGAAGCTTGGAGTCTGTGGCAGTTGTGTGCCAAGTCTTCATTGGCCTCAAGCAGTTGCTCTTTCTCTTCCCTCAGCCTTTCTGTCTCCTCCTTTAGGGACATCATCCTCTGCTCCAGCTGCTCAATCTGAAACAATCAAATATGGTCTGAATGGTACAACATAGTCAGCATAGTTGTTTTTACAATAACTGAGCAGACTTCTGAACACAATCCTCTTACAATGCAAAAACAACAACATGCCAAGCCTGAGCTTACTCTGTTTATGTTCTACAGTATATGTTAACAGTGAATATTCATCTGTGATAGCATGCACCATGGGTTGCCACTTAACTGACATTTTCTCATGGGCATGAGTATGGCTGAATCAATGAAAGGGGCAACACCGTCTCCACAGCCTGGCAATGTACATCTGACTGGAACCCCCTTACCCTGATCACCCATAACTAGACGGCAACGAGAAGTACTTTGTTTGTTAGATCTTTAGTGGAGGCTGTTTAAGAGAAAAGTGGATGCCTGCTGGGTTTGTGCCTACAGGCAATTTTTTTCCTTTTATATGGTTCACACTGCCTGCTGGTGAAGCCTGGTACCTTTCAAACCAAATTAGATGGCTATCCCCACTCTTGAAGATTCAGTCATGAAAGCAAAAGGGGTAACATACAGTACAAACTCATGCAAGCAGGTGTTTTAAAAGGTGTGTGCTCAAAAAATGAGTAACCTACCTAATCGCTCCAAAGCAATGTTTTATGTTAAATAACCTACTGCATTCTGGATTCATTTCCTCCATCCCAAATTTGTTATTTTTATTATTTGTGGAATGGTTTTTAAATGTGAGAAAACACTACTTGTAGCTGCAATGCGACTTGGAAATGACTACATGACCTATTTATATAACACGTTCAAATAATTCTTAGTAGAGCAAATTTTCTGAGAAGCATTGGGATGTAGTTATGGCTCTGTCGGGTTGCTTTATTGGCAATGACAAAAAACACTTAGTGATGGCATAGTGCTGTACCTTTTTAAATGACTGTTCCATTCGCTCTGAAGAAACAGAAGACTTCGGAGTGCTGCTTTTGACCTGGCGCTCCGCTACCACTTTGTGAAGCAATTCTGCAAAGGGGAACAAAGCTCATTATTGTGACACCATGTATCAAACTCAGGCTGCTCAATCAATAGAATGATAATAAAGAGGGTACATTAAATCAATTAGCATTACTAAGGTCTAATTTTCTTCCTAAAGTCCGTTTTTTTTCCTTCTTTTGTCAATCACATGAGAAGGAAAGCAAAATCACTAATGCTGCTTTCCTATGGACTTTTCCATAGCAAAAATCCACAGCTTGTTCCTAAAATCTTCTCAAACAGGCTTTTTCCTTTCGATTAACAGAAAGGTGTCTTACTTAGGAGTTCATGAGGAAAGAGGAAAAAAAACACACTCTGGTACATGCAATGTGCAACCTCTCTCTGGAGATCTTAAACAAACGAACAGAAGTGCTTGAATCCCTTGTGAACACATGGCCCCAGGCTGCAATGCTTTGTAGTCCACTGTGTTTTCCCAATGGTCAACTAATCTCTACAGACAAACATGCTGCTTTATTCTGAGAACTTGAATTGTGGCCTTGGCAAACATATGATTTAGGTTTTATGATAACAACAGAACGCATGCAGCCATCAAAGTGATTTGGATTCCATGCACACACATTCATGTGCACAAACACAATCCAACATGCGTCTATACCACTGTCTGTAGCATTGACATACAGTATATACCTGCAGAAGCAGAAATATCATTCTTGTTCAGCTACAGTTGATGTAAAGGGCAACACAAAATAATATAAACTGTTCTGCCTTTCCTTCGCTCCTGTTAAACATTCATGACAGAATGACCAAAATAATTTGTACAATGAGGCTAGGAACATTAAATATTCAGGACCTTGACTTTTCAGGTCAGTTGGTCTTTCTGCGTGTTCGTTGAGAAAGGAGGCCATATAAGGAGAGGGTAAAAAGAGAGCGGGTTATGTTGTGAGATTCTGCTGCTCCCTTTGCTCTGCATTTGACGCTTTGCCCAGGGAAGTTTGTTACTTTGAATTAGCCTGCTCTTTTGTCTTCCCAGCATGTCACATTCAATCAGAGAGAAGACCAAATAGGACAGGAGGGCTGCCGTGTTTGCTGGGTGCATAACCAGGTCGGGAGACAATTATCCAGCTCCAGTGCCAGTGGTTTGGGAGTTGGCACCTCAGCACTACCTTGATAAGAAGGCACAGTGGCTCCCTAGTCACACACCGTTGGAGGTGGTCCTGGCTGTGGCATATATTAAAATCCCTCCCACGTCTCCTTGTGGGCTGCAGCACAAAGGCCTTCTTCCTTTCATCTGCTGCCATTCGTTAGAGTGATGCTGGTGTGAGCACTTCGACACTATCACAGGAGGCTCTACAGGAGTAACTGTAGCCATTCATAATTTTTTTTCAGAATGTTGATTTTACTTCCTATTGACTCCAAACATATTGGTTTTATTCCAGACATAAATATGCAAAATTTTACCAAAATGAAACAACTGGCATTTACTGAGTCCCGCAATGTGCACACACACACACACACACACACACACACACCATTTATATCATTTAGGCTGATACAGCTACTACAATGTTGTTTCGCTCCCCCGTTATAACTTAATGATTTAACCTTGGTATGGGACTGGGAGAGTATTTTTATACAGAGAACACACAATAATAATAATACAACAGAAACAGCAGAACTGGAAAGCATGTTGTGTAAAGACAATGTTTACATTTGGCTTTTCTTTCACTAAGGAGTCATAAAGTTAAAATCAGGCATTTGACTTTTCTGTCTACTCTTTAGAGACAATTTGCAAGTAGATACTCAGGCTCCTGTGTAGCATTTATATTTTTTGCTTACTTCTCTGACAAAATTTAAAACTAGGATTGTCCTTTTGAAAAAGCCTAATTCATAATATTCCTGACTAGACTGTCAATAGGTGAGGACCCGCTATTTTAATTAGTGCTTCCCTTTAAATCAGATACTTGCATCTACAACAGATGCCATCAGTGGTTGTGAAGAAATTAAAGTGATCTAGGACAGATTTGTTATTGAACTAGTTAATTAAGGCAACTGGTTGTGATGGTCAGAGTCTAACAGAAGGCTGCAGATTAGATTAAAAGCGATGTGCTTTTAAACACTGGGATTGATGCATTCAGACAAGATGAACCCCACTTGATCTTCCAATTCTTTTGCAAGAGGTTGATCAAGTATTAATAGAGCTGTCCTATTAATTCCACTGGGAGTTGTCTTTTTAATTTTGCTTACTAATACACATGGCCAAGAGGTAAAAGGACAGCTTGAAGGTGCTGTCATGTGACACTGGCATGCTTTCCAGCAGCACAGGTGAAGCCTCCAGGGCCCTTTTGTTTGTGGCAACATTCTTGGGTAGAATTGTTGTGATCAATACTGTAAAAACAAACCTTATTATAACTGTGTAAAATTCAATTAAGAAAGGATTTTTAACAGGCAAACAAAGAAAAGAAAATGGACAAATGAAAAGATGAGAAAAAAGTGGAATTCATAAAACTTATTTTCGCATCCCTCAAAAACACCTCCCCAATTAAATAATAATAATAAAAAATAATAATAAATTCACCTTGGTGCTCATTAGCAAGACACAGGTGGAGCTCCTTCACCGTGGCCCGGTCCATAGCAGCCTGGACCCGCAGCATGTCCAGCTCCTCTTCCAGGCCAGCTCTGCAGTCACACATATGAACTTTTCTTCACACAATTCTTACATCAAACATATATATATATACACACCGTTTTAAAAATATGAATGGAATAAATAAATGTGATAAGACTACCTACAGTATACAAGCACCGTATAATGAGTATCTTTTTAAATCTCCACAAATATCACTATGGACTCCACTGTGAACTCCATTGTATTAACTTTTCTTACACATTTTAACTTGACTTTTATCATTTTCCTTCCGACCAGAAAAGCTAAAAAGTAAAAAAATAAAAAATAAAATCAGCAAATTAAAAAGCATTTTAATTTATCTCGAAATCAAAGTGACAAGCAACATGAAATACCAAGGTAGAAAAGTACAGTGTGCATCTACATGTGTATCAGACAAACAGACTGGAAAGTGTGCTCAATTACCTCGCTGCAATTAGCCCGATTCCTGCTAAAGGCTAATTATGTGGAGCTGTGCTTGGGAATTTGCACTTTCAAGTTATTATTAGGACCCCAACTGAAGTCTACCGAGGATACACACAATCCCACCGAGACAACCACACCTGATTCACACACCTAATTTCCCTCCTCTCTTCTCCAGAGTTAGAGAAATGCTAGAAACAAGCTGCTGCTGCTACTATAGTGGCATTTTTCCACAGTTATCCTCACAAACAGTGGGTCTTCAGTCTGTCTTCTTAAGACATGCACTAAGTATAGCATCTGCGATGCACTCTGAAGCATTTGAGGAGTAACAAGGCATTTGTGGCTATGGTGAACTATTATGAGCATAATGGCAATTAACTTAAACTAGACACCTGTTTCAACCAATCTAATTTTGCTAGATCAACCAAGAGATTGTTCCATACATACACCAAGAAAATGACTTGGGAAAAGTTATCGCCATAGCACAGGGAAGGGAAGTAATTAGCTTTTCAGCCCACACAGTCCAGTAGAGGCCTGGTCTAATGGCTGACCGCAGCTTAAATAAGTACACAAATGACTCTCCCTGAGGGGGGTGAGGCAGCAGATGGATATGTGTCGCTCCTCTATAGATTTTCCTCCATAAATGAACTCAAGTCGATGAGGCTCCAGCACTGCTGTGCTGTGTCCAGGCTGTTAATGGGACAAACGAGCTGAAATATGCAGTATGTGGAAGGAGCCGGTTACATCTCATGTTTCACTTTTATGCCTTTTCGGATGCTGATGGCATTGACGCTAAACCAAAGTTCATATGCAAAACATTCAATTTTGTTGAAGGATAAGCAGAGTTTCTTGGATGAAGAAGGGATTGGATTGCAGATGTAGTTCAGTGGCCTGGGGCCTCCAGTTTCACATCACAACACTGTGGAGATGAAAGACTATTACATCCAGTAACACTCGGTTGTTGCAGTGTGAGCTGCTATCTGCCATAGTGGGGGGGGATAAACAAACCTAAGGATGTTACTAGAATAAGAATACAAATTTGATGACTTATCTCAATGTTCACTAATGCAATACTAAAACAATTAATAAAATGAATATATATTTGTGGTTAGCGGACCCATTTTTATTTTTGGAAATGCAAAAAATTTTTTTCCTTTACAGTCTTACATGTTGCTTTGTTGAGTGAGTATGCAATTTAATTTACATCTTCTTACTATTTTCAGCCTAACAGGGTCCTAATGATGGAAAGAGAGAGCAGCACTGAGAATATGAAAAGATGTTTAGGCAATGCTGTAAGGCAGTTGTAATACTGAGCTAAATTCCAAAGTCAAGGAGTTATGTTTTAGGTCTGCATCACATTATAGCTGCTTTGACCTGAAACTAATTTGAGACCTTTGGCCTACATCAGACTACCAAGTGTAGACACACCTTCCTAGTGAAACTGAATGGAAAAGTGTGTCCAAACATTTTACTGGTAGTGTGCCTCTAGTAACTAGAAATTTATCTGAAATGAAACCATGTCTTCCAGTCATACTCTATTCAGAGTTGAGGTTCTCTACTTTACCTATAGAATACCTCCTATAGAGTATTTTTTAATCTGGATGATAAATCAAGTGAAGCTAGTTGGACAAGTTTCCCTCTCAACTTGCCGCTCCACCTATGGCTGAATAACACCCAGCCGACATAAAAGCAAAAGACGTTTCTTGGCACAAACCAAGCTAAAGGCAACAGACAAGCGTTATGTTTGTTAATGATCTGGTCTGCAGTGTAAGTCGGTGTCTCACGCTGGTCTTTTGGCCCCATTTTTAAAAACATTTTCTCTCGTGCAGTGCTAGAACTTCAGCCCTGAGCTATCCACTCCATGTCATTTGATCTCATCTCTACCTGTGCTGCACCTAAAACAGCTCAGAGCACAAACTGCCAAGCTCCATCCACAAGGGAGTACAGCACGATATCATCTGCGGTCATTGTACTTTCACATGCCAGCCTTCTCCTGGTTTCTTGCTTGGCACATAAAAATACAGAGAAAGAGCAGGGAACAGGGTGAGAAAGCAAAAACACCTCTAGCATTTTTATCACTGGGGAAAGAATCTTGTTTTGGGGGTGTATGTGTGAGGGTTCCCTTATGGTTAAACTTAGGCTACAGGGTTGTTCATTCATGGAGGGAGTGGATAAGCCACTGCTGTCAGCAGAAATGGTGACTGGTGAAGTTTACATGGCTCAGTGCTGTATTTTAGATGAATCTTAAAGAGCCATGTTCTTTAGCCAAAGGCCACTGAAATGAGAGGTAAAAGGGGATTCATGTAAAAAACCACTGGTGGAAACACCCTAGGATGTACACAATATTCTCTGTTTAAGAAGCTTGTTGACGCTGCTAGGTATTCTAATACAAAATAAAACAATATAATATTGCATTTATTAAACCTGGGAAATGGAAAGTCATTTGTACAAGTAAATACCAGTTCAAATAACACAGTCAACTATTTGAATATGGGAGGGAACAGGTAAAGTACATTCAGTAGTGGGTGTGTGAATAGTACTTCTGCAGTTTGGTTCCTCAAAATAACTGCATTCTTTGTGCTTAAATTTGATCTTGTTAGGAGAAATGCTAAGACCTCATGGCATACTAAAGCTTGGATTATAATTACTAAGTGAAACACAAGCTTTCTTAGACAATAATTAATTTACCATATAATTAATGAAGGAAAAGCCTTCAGTCTCTGATTTAAAAAACATGCATAAAACATTCTGTTTATAAGTGTATGTATGTTTGAGAAAATGTGTCCCTCCTCCATCTAAGCCCTTGTCCAGGGGGCAAAAGACTCTCATTACTTCTAATACCTTTTAGCAAATCAAGATGAAATGAAAAGAAATAGAGGAATATGAGGAACATCAGGGTTAACTTTATTAAGCTTAATTAGAGTCAATGTCGCTTATTGGGGAGGTTCACGTCCATAATGGTCACTCTCTGTAGAGGAGTTTTCACTGCTGGTGCAGTGCAAATGATCTCAAAGGCTTTTTCCTCGGTAATCGCTAGCTAATTTATGCTTTGATGTCATCTGAGTATAGCTTTTTAAGTCAGAGGGTGCACTGCATGTGTTTATTCTGTTTATGGGGCCTAAATAATTCCTGCCTCTTTTTACCAACAGACCTTTAACAACAATTAACAAGCACTGATGTGGAGTGCCACAGACAGATGCATAATGATCCAGATAAAATGAACCCACTGCAAATTTTCTAGCCCAGCTAGTTGCTTGCCAGCCACCTCCTACAATCACAATGCAATCTTCATCAAAAAAAAATCACCCTTGGTGTCAGTTAATTTGTTTGCCTGTGCCTTTTACCTTAGAAGTGCCCCAGCATGCATCTGACAGATGTTCTAAAATGTTAAAGGTAGAGAGTGGAGACGGTCCTGGATTCTGTCGATACATGATATATAAATCAATACATAAAGAAGAGCTGATTTTTGTAATTACAATGTTTGATGAATGAATTATAAAAGTAGAAATAGTGCAGTCAAAGTCATGGATTGGCTATAAAGGAATAAAGGAAAACCTACGGAACTGGAATTACCACTTTGCATCTGCATGCCTTCGCCGACCAGTCAAATTCAAGGGTATGGGACAGAAGTGAGGTCACTGACCTTGACCTTTGACCACTAAAATCGTATCAGTTCATCCATGAATCCAAGTGGACATTTGTGCCAAATTTGAAGAAATGTCCTCAAGGTGTTCCTGACATAACACATCCACAAAAATTATACGGACAACCTGTACGCATAATGCATCTGGACGGCTACCGCTGGCAGGGAGGCATAAAAATTTAAGATGGTTACTCAACTTCTAATCCAAGTAAAATTTTGCCATGGATCAATTCCTGTTGATATCTCTACTGTCAATCAATATGTGAACTTGCTTCAGGTATACTGCTCCCTTCACACCGAGTCTTCAGATGATGCTATGGTAGATTCACAGGCTAGCAAGCTCCCCATTCTGCCATTGGTGAAGATGGTAAGAAACAAAAAAGAATAAAAGCAAAAAGGCAATCAAGTTCATTTTAGATAAAGAACTTATATCTGTGCTGCTTTCAGTGAGACAGAGAGGGTTGAGAAAGAATAACAACGTTCAAACGTACATTGATTTGGCTTTTTTTCTGCTTGACAGGGAAGTTTTATAGCACTCTTATTTTTAATAAGTGATTTCAATATCGTCTGGGTGAAGCATAGTAGAGCAGGGAGAGTTAGGCAGAGTGGATTCATTTTGTGCCTCATTCTACCACTATTTTGAATCCCAAACATTATATATTATAGTCTTAACTAATTTGTACACCTCAACAACATTCAGACACCAACCAAAACTCTCCACCACCAATTCAAAAACATTTCAAAATCATTCAAAAAAATTATTAATAGTAAAAATGTGCCTCACAGCATGTTCATTAATGTCACATGAGAAACCATCCTACTAGTAGTTCATGGTGTACATGAATGCTATATTTTACATGTAAGACGTTGTCAAAGAATCAGTAATTATCCATCCTTTGATCTATAAACTAAGCCACAGGGAGCCAGCAAATCAGCTGAAAGTGGAGAGAAACAGACCTGTTTCACCTTGTTCTTCCTCAACCTGTTATTCAAGTTGCAGGGGGGCCTGGGCTTGATAACCTTCTCTTTACACTGTAGGGACCCACCATGCAGGAGTTATCCCAGCAATATTCATTCTGGGAAATGGTCATTTGGGCCTCAAGACAGTGTTTCAGAATTGCCGTTTTCAGAGCAGGTGATAGAGAGCATCTGTGAGCAATCTCATGACAATGAAGAATAGAAAATGAGGGAAACTGAGTTTAAACAGAGACTCTCCTCTAAAGCTTGCCACTAGGCATTTAAAGCTTTATAAGGGGCCTTTATCTGGCCCTAAATTCTTCAGCTGTCAGGAGTTCACTAGCCATTAGTGGATCATTGAAAACACTTATCTAGCATAACCTTTACAAGCAAAATCATTATAATACAGTCAATGGAATAACAAGCTGCAACTGCTTTGCCCAAGAGTTTCCTGACAGTTATGTTTACAGAAACTCTGACTGTTGCTACACTATGATGTACCCAACTATTGCCCTTTCTGTTCCATCTCAACAAAAATTTGCATGGCAGGGAAGAAAAGCTGTTTGGTTGAGCTAGCTACATACAGTGCCTTGCGAAAGTATTCGGCCCCCTTGAACTTTGCGACCTTTTGCCACATTTCAGGCTTCAAACATAAAGATATAAAACTGTAATTTTTTGTGAAGAATCAACAACAAATGGGACACAATCATGAAGTGGAACGAAATTTATTGGATATGTCAAACTTTTTTAACAAATAAAAAACTGAAAAATTGGGCGTGCAAAATTATTCAGCCCCCTTAAGTTAATACTTTGTAGCGCCACCTTTTGCTGCGATTACAGCTGTGAGTCACGTGGGGTATATCTCTATCAGTTTTGCACATCGAGAGACGGAAATTTTTGCCCATTCCTCCTTGCAAAACAGCTCGAGCTCAGTGAGGTTGGATGGAGAGCATTTGTGAACAGCAGTTTTCAGTTCTTTCCACAGATTCTCGATTGGATTCAGGTCTGGACTTTGACTTGGCCATTCTAACACCTGGATATGTTTATTTGTGAACCATTCCATTGTAGATTTTGCTTTATGTTTTGGATCATTGTCTTGTTGGAAGACAAATCTCCGTCCCAGTCTCAGGTCTTTTGCAGACTCCATCAGGTTTCCTTCCAAAATGGTCCTGTATTTGGCTCCATCCATCTTCCCATCAATTTTAACCATCTTCCCTGTCCCTGCTGAAGAAAAGCAGGCCCAAACCATGATGCTGCCACCACCATGTTTGACAATGGGGATGGTGTGTTCAGGGTGATGAGCTGTGTTGCTTTTACGCCAAACATAACGTTTTGCATTGTTGCCAAAAAGTTCGATTTTGGTTTCATCTGACCAGAGCACCTTCTTCCACATGTTTGGTGTGTCTCCCAGGTGGCTTGTGGCAAACTTTAAACGACACTTTTTATGGATATCTTTAAGAAATGGCTTTCTTCTTGCCACTCTTCCATAAAGGCCAGATTTGTGCAGTATACGACTGATTGTTGTCCTATGGACAGAGTCTCCCACCTCAGCTGTAGATCTCTGCAGTTCATCCAGAGTGATCATGGGCCTCTTGGCTGCATCTCTGATCAGTCTTCTCCTTGTATGAGCTGAAAGTTTAGAGGGACGGCCAGGTCTTGGTAGATTTGCAGTGGTCTGATACTCCTTCCATTTCAATATTATCACTTGCACAGTGCTCCTTGGGATGTTTAAAGCTTGGGAAATCTTTTTGTATCCAAATCCGGCTTTAAACTTCTCCACAACAGTATCTCGGACCTGCCTGGTGTGTTCCTTGTTCTTCATGATGCTCTCTGCGCTTTAAACGGACCTCTGAGACTATCACAGTGCAGGTGCATTTATACGGAGACTTGATTACACACAGGTGGATTCTATTTATCATCATTAGTCATTTAGGTCAACATTGGATCATTCAGAGATCCTCACTGAACTTCTGGAGAGAGTTTGCTGCACTGAAAGTAAAGGGGCTGAATAATTTTGCACGCCCAATTTTTCAGTTTTTTATTTGTTAAAAAAGTTTGAAATATCCAATAAATTTCGTTCCACTTCATGATTGTGTCCCACTTGTTGTTGATTCTTCACAAAAAATTACAGTTTTATATCTTTATGTTTGAAGCCTGAAATGTGGCAAAAGGTCACAAAGTTCAAGGGGGCCGAATACTTTCGCAAGGCACTGTACATAGTCCCAGCAACCAGGTCCGTGCTCTCCTGCTCATTCTCACAACAGGAACAGAGGAGAGCAAGTAGAACAGAAATGGGCAGTATGCTTTTGCTTAGTTTAAAAGGATTGAGGTATGTAAGTGTGCCCGGGAACAGAGTTTTTCTAGAGCACAAGTTTAAAGATCCCAGCCAAGTTTACTTTGCACCAGCCCCAGGGTAAGGAGGGGCCCTGCGGGTGGGAATGGAGGAGATGAGCTAGAGTTGGTCAGGGGCACATGAAGGGGATCAACATTAACCCCAGAGAACAGGCAAGTCAAACAGCTAGGAAAGAGGCCAGCCACTCTTATCCCTCCTAGTTTTCCCTCACAGGTCAGTTCCAAGGACCCTGCCAGTTCACCGTAGTCTGCTTGGCCCTCACGCCCCTCCCACAAACCATCCAGTGCTCCACTCTGCTCAGCTCCATTCGTGGCCAGCCAGGCAGGCAGACGGACGGACGGACATCCCTTAGCAGGCAGCATCGGCGGCACTAGGGCTGCTAGCCTGTAATTAGCTCGGACAGCTCAGGCTTGGAGAAAGGCAGTCGGGCTATATCATAATGAGCTCAGCTGGGATTAAGAGGACAGAGCAGGAGGGGTGAGCAGAGGGGAAAGCATTAGAAGGGGTGGGGGCAAATACTAGAATTCTGGCCTCGATCTAATGTAGCATCACAGAGGGCCAGAGGGAGGCAACTGGGAAGACAAGTGGGAAGAAGGGAAGAGGACAGCACAAAGGCATAGGATAAAGGAGGGAAGAGGTGAGGAGAGGTGAAGGCTTGGGGAGATAGGAAAGGGGAAGTCTGTGGCTTTAGGCCAAGCTTTGTGTAGTGGTATTGGTACAGTTACAGGGGGCTTCTCTAGATCAAATAAGACAATGACTATATACTATGCCCAGAGACAAACATTGTAGAGGCAAAAAAGGAGGAAAGAAAAAGAGAAACCGAGAACAAACTAAGCAATGAAGAAAGAAATTCAATGAAAAGCACCTCTCACAAAAAAGTCAGGAAGCAATACAGCTTCATAAGTAGTCTTATTGACACTCAATACCACTAGCAACAAGAATACAGTTTGGCATAAATGTTCCATTAAAAATGCAATTATTTCACAAAGACACAGCTGGGGATTCAGATAATGTGATTTTACTTCCTGTGCTTTTATGTGTGAATTTTTTGGTTAGCCAATTTTACAAATGAGCACAGAGTCTAATGATCCTGCTTTGGCCCCTGCTGGTTGGTAATGATGTGGAGGGCTAGGTGGATGCTGTGAAGTTGGGAAGGGCACACTCAAATTTGAACACCCACCAACAAGAAGGGACAGTGGGAGGGTGCTGTCAGTATGTGTGTGCAAGGGGAAAGTCATATTCAGGCAGACTTTCACTCTGCATGAAGAACACAGAATTTCTCATTCATTCAAATGCCCTGACAAAGTAGGGATCGTCTAAAAAGACGTAGCAGTGTGCAGCAAAAAAAAGTTAAATCTGGTTCAACTTTTTCTGCAACACAACATAACATACAGCAAAGGACAGTGCTGGACAATCACATACATGCAGGCGCACTCTGAATGGAGAAGTTTGTAATGTGAACACTCACTGCCATTCTGGCAAATGTTCCAAAACACACTGAATCCAAGACATGCATCTCCCCTGAAACCCTTGCGTTTATGCTTCAGGTCCCCCCCCCCACCACGTTTGGTGAAGTGTAATCTTCACAGACAGCTGTTTAAAATCACACAAACACCGTTTATTTTTTGTTTTCTGCTGGTATCTGTTATGACCAATCAGGCTGCTGTGTTTCACTTTCTCCTCTGTAATGAACCAAAATAAATCAATAAATCCATAGGCTACATAAAACATAATTTCTTTCTAATGATCTTGTATGAAAACAATTTTTATCCAGTACACTTGTGCTGTTGGTTGGCCCGGTAAAAACTCTTTCTCAGGCCGCTGTCCAGACAGTGGTTCAGATTACTGGTCAGACGCAAAAAACTCCAGTCACGTCTCGCTTTTAGTGTGTTTAACCAGCAAGACAGAGAAACAGTTTTAAAACAGGCCATTTTGACAACTGGTCACTCACTTTTCAGTGGAGAGTTTCCTGGTGAGGTTTTTCAAGTAGGCCAGCTCATTCCACACCGCATCACTGTTCTCTTGCCTCAACTGCCATGGCTCTGCACGCTGCATCCTTCCACCTCGTCTAGACAACACATACATACACAATATATGGGAAAACAAAAGAGCAAATATAGAGGCAAGCAAACACACACACACACACACACACACACACACACACACACACAGAAAGCAAACATACTAACAAGGGAAATGGTTGGTACTATGCTTTACCTTGCTGCCTCTGGCCAATTCGCATGGGGTAACAAGGCTCCTTAGTCTCACGCTGTTTTTATTATTCAGCCATCTTTAGCAGTATTCAAATGGGCAGCCTTGACTTTGACATTTCAGTGGCAAATCATGTACACACATATGCATATTTGTTAGAGCCCAGAGCACTGCCTGTGTGGCAGGGCAGTGGAGCATTCCCTGTGTGTCATGCAAATGTAAATAATGGCAAAAACACACTTGCAAACTAAGTCATTCAAATGTCTACACTTCACTTATGAATACTTAATGACACTTTGTGCTCAGTGGATGCCCCCTCCATTGAACTTCCCCCATAACTCACTCTCTCTCTCTCTCTCTCATACACACAGAGTCCCATTCCTGCACACACCCAATTCATCAATCAGTCTTAGTCCACCACATTCAATTCCAATTAGCCTTTCATTTACAAACTAAAATGGCTTTTAGTGAGAAATCCACAGATTGCAAAAGTATCAGGTGAGAATAACATTTCTCTCACATACACATGCACAGAGACAGACATATTACAGTTTCTCATTTTCACTCAATCAATGAAGTGGAGGTGTGAAAATGGATTATGAGGGTCACTGCTATCGCAGAGGGCTCCTTCTCCTCCTGTCATTACTGGCCATGTAGATGCTGCCACGGTATGCTAATACTAGTTAAACCCCGCTGCCTGGGAGCTGGAGGCTACTGAGGAACAGCAAATGTTTTCATTTAATACTGCTAATGCCCCTGTGAGCAATTTGGAGCCCTTGAACTTCCTCATAGTGTGTGTGTGTGTGTGTGTGTGTGTACTACCTGTAGGCTTGGGTTAGTTTCCCGGCATGCAAAGCGACTTAACAGATAATCGCACTGTATAGTCACAGAGACTAATACACTTTTACTTATTCTACTGCAAACAGACAGTGAATTCAGTCTAAACTGTGTGTCTTCCCACTGCCTGGAGATGTAAAAGCACATGGTATTTTACACACACTTCTTTTTATTTTTTTCTGTGCATTTTTAGGTATGTAGTGTATCAACTGCACTTCTTATGAAAGGTGTATGAAGCTTTATTAGGTTACGGTAAAGCTTTATACATTTTAATTTGTTTACAGTGGTCCTAAAAGCTGTTGAACATGGAGCCATGAGAGAGCCATCTTCTTCAGGCCTCAGTGCTTTCTCCCCTATGGTAGCCTAGTTTCCATTATTAAACAGGAGGAAATAGAGAGAACTTTTCCACGCTGCTGCAGCTAATTGCTCTGATTCAGGGGGAATCTGTTTATGGGTGCAACTTTGATCAGAGTACGGATGCTTTAATAACCTTTAATTTTATTTGCTCACCCCATCATCCCCAGTCTGATTAAAAAACTTTTTCCCTTCTCTAATATAAATAAGAAGTTGGCTTTTTTTCCCCTCTACTTCATGGCATTTTGGGAAAATATGGTGGTAATGGTGAATGGCAGGGTAGTTTCACTGGGACTGGCCAACTGCTCATCGGCTGCATGCTGATGAGGCAGTGGACCCTTTGCCTACTTCTTGATTGGCTGGTAGTTTTATCCTGGGTGGATCTTGTTATCACACACACAGGTGATGTCACTCAGCAGCTGGCCATGCAGCAACCAATTGTCTGATTCGATACCTTACTCTGCTGATGAGAGATGAAGACAGATATGGGGGAAAGTACAAGAATATCTGTATAGCAGGTAAGAACAGAGATAAACTGTCTTATCCTTTTGTCCCTCACACAAAAAAGGGAACAAAATCGACCCTGCGCATCTTTCCAAAAAGGCAACAACACAGCGTGAAAGCTACTGGGAAATCCCTAACAAGCTCAAAATGCAATGAGACTTGACGCCTATCCCCACTGACTTGTTAGGGCCCTGATTTCCCAGCACTAATGGGAGTATTTAAGTCATTTTCTATTGTCTCTGATACAGGCTGGCATTACCCCGGTGGGTTTATGGTTATTTAAGGAGGGGGCTTAATGCCAAATGTATGCCAGGATCATAACATTGTGACTGGCGGGTGCCATGGTAGACTCAGACTGAAAAGGGGCAAAGCTGGCTATTGCATCAATTTCATGTCAAATTAGTCATGAAATACAGATGTTCTAACAACTAGCTCTAGCTCCAGGTCTTTTTTAGCTCTACTCATAAAAACAAACTTGTTGTGCATTTATAAATACCTGCACGTTTTCTTATCATAAAAACCATAGCATGTTTGACAAAAATACACAATTCTTTAATAACCAGGTAAAATGTGTAACAGCAGCACAACTGGTGTTGGCTACGAGCTGTCTCTTTACAGCTCCCTGTCTTTGTTCCCACTGTCTCAGACACATGCTGTTGAGCCGCGCTGAGCTGACATGAGCCGACTCGAGCCTTGCGCTGAACATGCTCATTCACTCACTCCACTTTCACACGGGCTCACATTGCACTGCTGTTTTCTTTAATTAACCCAGAGAGAAAATAGCTGACGGAGTCAACACTTTGCTCCCATGCGGCCACCAAACATAGGCACCTTTAGCTACATTTTAAAAACGCCTCAAAGACACTGCTGGAGAGAAGAAACAAAGATAGAAAAAGTGGGAAATGACTCAGGGAGACAATGGAGTGAACAAGAAGACTATATTAATGACATTTTCCACTTTGCGTAAAAATCCTGTGGTTTCTGGTGAAGATAACACAGGAAATGACCCTCTCCTGTCCTCCCATCTCTCTTCTCCCTCCACAGGCCTTCTCAAACACCTTGCACCTCCCAGGACCAGACACCTCCAGTCTCTGACTATCACATCCTAATGAACGCTGAGGGAGAAGCAGAAGCACACACACACTTGGCACAAAACAGCCCAAATTGACTGGGCTTAAAACCTCAGTTTTTCAAAGGCCAAGGGAGGAATTCCTCCTGCTTTTCCCAAATCCAACACTCAGGTCTTGCCAGCCAATGTAGAAAGCAATGAGGGTTCAAAGCTATTTGTGAGTGGTTTCAGAGGGTTGTAGCATTTCACAAGGGCTTTTAACATAAGGCAAGGTGAGTTATGTGCTTTGAAATGTCTCCCACCCCCTGCTGTTGGGTGGAACTGGAAGTTATCCAAGCTGCTTTATGTATGCAGAAGCTCCTGTGTGTTTTATGAACCTCCTGTCCAGTAACCAATGCATTGTATGCAGTATATAATATTGATTTTGACATCTTTTCATTGTTAGTTTTGTTACTAAACATTAATGTGTGTACTTACAAGCCACTTGACTTTTCCATCTCTTTCAGCTGGTCTCGGACTGTCTTGTAGTTGGTGTGAATGAGACACAGGCGTTCACGACGTTTATCATGAGCCCTCCTCAGCTCTTCATTCTCCTCCATCTGTAATATACAGCGACAGGTTTTTTTCCCCAAAAATTGTATATGTCAAATGAAACAACTTAACTGAAGAAGACAGCAAACTTCATGTGTACTGGCACAGCAGTATGGTAGGGAAACAGAGGAAAGCCCCTCACCATCTACATATTTAAATTGGTCTACAGCTGAAACACCTTTTCCCAAAGAAGACCCTCAGGTTCAGATTGTTTTCTCTCCTCTACTTTCTCCCTCGACAAGTGCTTCCACTCTCATTGTGGAACTGAGACATCATTAAAGGAAGACATTTACATGACAAGTCAATGGGGCCACCGAAGACCAAGCAGACATACACACAGTACACTCCAGCATGTGCACCACATACACACACTCTAACCAGCAAACTCTCTCACTGGAGTTACCAACTGATGACCAGTATGTGCTGTGTTGGTGGAGGCTGTAGTCGTGGGTTTGTTGCTGACACTGTTGTTGACAGCTATTAAAACACAGCAAGATTGACCTCCTGCTTTAAGGAAGGAGTAGGAGAAGACAACATATAGATTTTTCTTGTCAGGGGGCATCCCTCCTCCCCATCACACTGACCTCAACAGTGAAGGCAATGGAGAAAACACTTGCAACAGGCAGGACAAACAGAGGTTGAAAGAAAGCAAGAGAAAAAGAGAGAGGCAGCTGACGAAAATGGAGAATAAGAGAACAGAGAAATTAGAGAGAGAGCGAAGCAAAAGGGAAAGTGAAAGGCAGAGTGTAGGACAGGTTTCTGCTTGAGTGGCCAGGGCTAGGGAGAGTTGTCGAGCACTTTCTGAAGTGAAGGAGCTTGTTTACTGCTGATATGACACGGCTGCCCTGCAGAGAGGGAAATGCGGGCCCTCAGCCCTGTTATTATTAACAAGGACAAAGAGAACAGAGAGAGCACACAAACATGCACTAGGACACACAACGGGTGTGCGCACACACAATACACATTCACACTGCCAATGTGACAAGTATGGATTTTCCCTTGTGTGGATTATTCACAGAGGACATCTGCAAGACATCCTCAGCCCCTTCAAGCAGCTCCCAATCTCTCAAAAGCATGGTTCTAATGAATGCGACCAGACCAGGGCAGTATTAACTAGTGGAACTAGGAGCTGGTTCAGGACACAGAAGAGTTGAGGATGGCGGAGGGCGGGATGGAGCAAGTGGCAGGGCATTAGCCACATCATGGCTTCTCAGGCCCCTTACAGAGCATCCCCGGGGCAGCCCAGCTCTGGTCATCAGGCCACAGACCCTTGCCCACCGATCAATACACCCCCCCTACTCAGCCAGCATTCACATCTGTGGATGTTCTCAAGCTGAAAAATAATTACACATCAACAGTTACTGTTTACTTGAAAGTGTGCAAAAGAAAAAAAAGGAAGCCATTATTATAAGAATTGTTCGTTTGTCTGCTGCTGTTAGCTGCTAAGGTCAATGTGTCAATGGTACAGGCTGGCGTACCCAATTTGAACAGCATTCTATTGGAAAGCCTGGAGAACAATGGACTGGACAGAGTGAAATACTTCATTGTAAGAGGAAGAAGATGAGGTCTTAACTGTTGATGCTGTGGTGTTTGTTACCAGAGATAAGCAGAGGACATAAGCACAAAACTCAATGTGGTCACAAATCTGAGTTGCCAAATCATGCTTTTTCTATCCATACCTTCGCTAAATGCGCCTCAACTGATAGATACATAAATGGCACCATTAACTAAGACAGTCATGCATGTCATCTGTATCTATGTTGAGTACTATTGTCTGACTAGATGTCTGCCAGTGATGTAATTCAGACACTTGAGATCTGACAAGATGATGATGCTTAATGTGTTCTTGGGATTGTGTTCAAAGGGAGATGACCTCTGCATAATCACTCACTTACTGGACAGCTTGAAAGACAGAATGGATAAAAAAAAAAAAGCAATGAGAAGGACAGCTTTAGGGGGAAGTCTGAATAAAAAAGGCAGCAGAAAATCAGAGAAAATATGAGAACTTAAAATATGTATTGAAAAGGTGAAAATTTTTTGCTTACAGTTAATTTAAGAGAGGGAAAAAGACATGAAACTGGAAAATAGAAGGAGAAAGAGGTTAGCGCATGTGAAGGTTAAAAGACCAATAAAGCCGATTCATTTAAGACAAAAAACCTTGCTGCAACCACTTTTCACCAGAGCAGCTCATCTCCTGCTAATTCACTGCCTACGAATACTCTGTGTGCTCACACATGCGTTTTGTGTGTGAAAGACAGTTAAAAAAAAAAAAAAATTAAATAAATAAAGTTATGGAGGAGGCAGTGGTGCAACTGAACCCTTTGAATACCAAGACACAGTACTGCAGACCTTCCTACAAGCCAGCAGCTGATAGCAGCAATCATATGTGATATAATGGCCACAGCAACAGTCAGGTCGATTAGATCTGCCTAGTACTCCAAGCTATCAGCTGGAGACCAACTTTGCCACTGAATGTGCCCTATACAATATATAACAATACTTTTAAGTAACTGAATTTCAGTCTGTCAACAGCCACTGGCATGTGTGATAAAACTAAGGCGAAACACAGACACAAAAGACAAGGAAAACAATTTTGGCTACAAGAAATAAAGGACGTAAACATTAAAGAGCAGGGGATGAATAGGTTCATGTAGACAATAGAAAAATAGATGATAATATGTATATTCATTTATGTTAGCTAGTAGTTACCTTCAAATGCAGCAGCTCCTCAAGGTCTTGAATCCTCTGATCTGCTCTCCTCCTCCTCCCACTACCCAATTCCACACTGCTGGCTGGGGACAGAGACCTGGACCGCTGCACATGTGCACCCTGGGACTGGTAAGCAAAGAAGCACTTGGGTGAGAACATTACACTTACACAGACAGGCACAAACCCAGCAACAATTAACATCTGTAGAAACTGTGAGTGAATGCCAACAACGGAATTATCCATGTTCATTCCATTCCCCTCTCACCTTGAGAAAAACATGCACATTGTCTTCTTCAGTACACACATATTGCACACAAAAACAAACATAATATCAGAGGAATAAAGCAAGCTGGAGCAGCAGTCCAGAGAAACTGAAGGGAGGAGGTTCAGTTTTTGTGTGTATGTGTGTATCTAGAAGTTGCAAGCTGAGAGCGGCAAAGGTTTCTCCCTGCAACTGGCTAATGAGTATGTTCATTTCCATTTACATTGTTTCTTTGACAATAATGATGTCCCATTAGGGGAGACTAAAGGGGCTATAGATTCCAGAATGTGCTGGGCTTCATTACAAGAGGTGGGCAGGGAGGCCGCTCTAATTGCTCTACTAGGGGCCTCCAGGTTATACTTGATAGGACAACTGGAAGAGCCGCCGATTAGGAGGGGGGTGCAGTTTGGTAGCCTGCCTCTTCTGTACAAATAAATAAACAAGTGGAAAAGTGCTGGGGCCGTGCTGTAGAGAAGCTGTGGGAACAATATGCTGGTGGAATATGAATATGAGAGGATAGGAGGCCCCCTGTAGTGCCAGGCAGGGCTGACCAGATGGTAGGCTAAAATATGCAATGCGACTAAATGCACAACAGTCCTTGGGCAGGAGTGGATGAGGAGTACAGGAGGAGGAGGAGGAGGAGGATGTAGTGGTGGTGGAGTAAGGATTTTTATGATAGGATGGTGGATCAATAAGCCCCCTCCTCAAAAGTGTTGTTACAAGCTTTATTGTCTATTAAAGTTATAAAACAAAAGAGTTCAGCAGCAGCACTGGTTGATTTGGCGATATCTGTGGTTGCTGGAAGTAATGGCAAGCGAATGTTAATAATGCAGGTCCCAGTGTTCGATCAAGGCCTCATCGCATCAAGCTAATGAAGACTAAGGAAGAAAGTCAAAAACTGCACAATAACCCTGAACACTGATCAAATGTTGGAAAAGGACACATGAAAGGGGCTTCTGTTTTCTCTTAGTTTCCTGTGAATCCTTTGTGTGTTGTTCCGCAACTTGCTTCCTGCACTGGAAAGATGTACTGTGAAAACCACTACATAATAGTAATTGCTGAAAAATCCTTACCCTAAATGTTTAAAAATTGGGTCTGATATTAAGAAGATATGATTTTCAACACATTTTTATAACTTGACTAATGCCAATACTCCCAGTTCATCACTATAAGGTGTGTCTATTGACCAAAAGTTGTATGTATGTAAGTGCATTTGGGATTGTGCCCTGGGGCTACAGTTGACTCCAATGACCTGGTGTGCCTGGTTCTGCTATCATGTCTGCATGGTTGCCAACCATGTGTTCTAACTCAGCCTTAATGACTCTATGCAACTAATTAACAGATTTATCTGCATATTCTTGATGAGTGGCAAGCCAACTGGCTTAGCCTTTATGTACTTGGGGGAAACAGAGGGGCCAAAAGAGGAATTCAAAGCAACTAAAAAGCTGGGATTAAAAGTAAAGATGACCAACTATGAAGTATGACTTGATGGGGATGAATTCAAAATAGATTTTCAGGTAGGAATATATTTTGGGGAATTTAAAGATATTTGAGCTGAATAAACTTTTGTCATGGTTTCTCTGTATGTAAGAACAAGAGCAGAGTAACTGCAGTGTGTTTTGTCTGAAAGAGTACACAGGAAGACGACATGGTGACAATGACAAATGACTGAGATTTGCTGCAGATGTTCTCTATGGTCCATTTGGACGTCTGTCTGCTGCAGGTCCAGAAGACACATGAATGCCTTCTGTTTATATGTGAAGCTCTATGTGGTGACATTGTCATTAATACTCTACAAGCCAGGCCTAAAAGATAAAAAGCAGAGAACATAAGGCATAGAAAGACGCACCCGTTGTCTACCTCAGCTCGGCAGCTGGTTGGTGGTCATGACCTGACCTGCTCATCGTACCCTGTAATGGCTCTGTAAACATGAGAATGCATTGCAGATGGCAAGGGGCAGGCATATAGTAAGAGGAAATTGAGGAAAGAGATCGTTATCTAAACACAGTCTATATGCAAGCAAGAGTAAAACTTTCATTTTCTGAGAGGTCAGTGCCACTGGCAAGAAGAAGAAACATTTCATCATCCATCTCCCTTCACTCTCTCTCTCTCTCCATCTCCATCTCCCAGAGAGAGGGGTCACTGTCATCAATGGACTTCTTTATTATTGCAACACGTCCTGTGTGTCTGGAACTCTTAAAGCTGAAGTTGTTTAGTTCCTGGGTGAATAGGAATGGTGTACACACAATAACAGGACAAGACACGTACATACTGTAGACAGAAATACATACATCGAGGTGGAAACACATATGAGCACGCAAAGGACATTAAAAATAAGCACAAGAATTCAATAAGACCAAGAGACTGCCTAAAGAGACTGCCTAATGTAAGAGCCAGTAATCTGAGAACTGACTGTTATAGGTAAATAACACAGTACAGTCCAGCTCCTATAAACAAGCAAACTTGCAAACACTCAGGCACTGTGCCTGAGTGAAAAGTGGCACTCTCTGACAACAGTATGGGTTTGATCTAGGGCTGTACTCGACTAAGAATTTTGTCAGTCAACTGTTCAGTGTGACTATTCATTCTTTTTTTTAAATATATGTATATAAGAGTCAGAAAATCAACAGGCATGAATTTCACTAATGCTTTTGACCACTTTAACATAAGCATTTAAATGCAAAGGAATGACAGGAATATATTTCTGAGCATTTAAAAATCAATAAAGACAGATGCATATAATGCAAGATTTAAACTGCGACCTATTTAAATCAACAACATATAATAGAGACAGGGACAGAGAATCAAAGGCCATGCATGGGCTGGCACATGTCAGTCAAGTTCCCTTAAACACGGTGCCAATGATAAGAATTGAGAAGGCATGTTTTATTTTGGTTTGGGTCTAAATATCCTTTGCATCAAGATAGTTTGGTTTGGAGTTGGATAACCTTTTGCGCATATCCGAATGTGGCTAAAGTTAGTAAAATAACTTGGGTAACTTTTTGTGACTATCCAGAGGTGGTAGGTTAGGCAAAAGTCCTAGAATGTTTAAGGTTAGGCTAAGTGTTAAGGTACAGTAAGGCAAGTAGTGATTATAGTAATGCTTAGAGTAAGCCTCTAGGAAATTAATGCAAGTCTATGTGTATTTGTCCTAGGGCGAACATAGCAGAGCCTCCACAAAAAGAAAGCACATCAAATGATGTTAATGCCAAGTATTCATTTTGTACAATATAACTGCTTAAACAGAAGCACTTCCATTGAAGCTATGGTGGGGACAGCGCTATAATCTAAATCAAACAATGTACAGTAAATTCAGATCAGTTTTAAAGTGAGTGAGGCCATCTAGAATAATATCCTACCAAACCTGTAAGTAGAATACTGAGAAGATCAAAAGCTTCTTTCTTGTTCATAATGTACTGCCGAAACGGTAAATTAGACAGTGCCTGAGCCCAAGGCATGCATGAAACCAGCAGCACATGCCAGCCTGGACACACAGTAGGAAGGGCATGTGCGTGTGTTGGGGAATTCAGGACAAAGGTTGGCTGAGGCAGGCTCTGATAAATCACATGATTCACAACAGACCTTCTTTCATATTCCTTCTCTATAGCTTTGATGTGAGTAAAGTGGTAATGGATATGTGTGGGCATGTAAGCCCCACATACTCTCTTTGACAAAATTGGCAGCAGTGTATGTTAACCTACCTGTTGTCTTTTGACAGAACTGGTGGATCTGTGCTGAAGGGCCCTGTCCATTGACCTGGGATTTAAGCCTTGGGTGGAGACCTGGTCAGAGTTAGGGCTAGACCTCTGAGCTGCAGCATCAGCCTGCTCTGACACCACTGCCTGTAAGGAGAGAAAAACAACTAAATGTCAAAGTGTGCGTTAGTCGTTGACCAAAAAAAACCAGTGAGCAAATTAAACAGTAGGTGGGGAGAACAGGAGATATCTGACAAAATAGTTATATTCAGGGGACTTGTCTTGCTGGTGGCTATTAATTTCATAAGCACATGGAATAAAACTTGTTTAATTGGCTACAACATGCTCTAAAACCTGCATATGTTAATATGAGTATTTGTTTGTATGACTGAACAGCAATTTGTAACTCAGATAAATACAGTGGGTATGGAAAGTATTCAGACCCCCTTTAATTTTTCACTCTTTGTTATATTGCAGCCATATGCTAAAATCATTTAAGTTCATTTTTT